AGAATCCCTAAATTTTACCTTAGAGCCTGGACATACCAATTCTTATCCTCAGCAGCTTCATTCAAAGATGTGTGAACTAATGTAGATGGACTTATCTTACACAGCTGGAGAGCAAACAATAATTTTATTGAATTGAGCATCACTGCATCTGACCCTAACATGAAACCTATCAAAAGCTTACTTTTAAGTAAGAATAGTCCAGTATTTTTATTCTGCTTTGCATTATTCTGCTTTATATCTTTCTTTGCAATGAGGTTGATGTTAGAGGCATACCTTCTGCTGTACTAGTTAAAATTTGTTCAAATTATTTGCCTGTGAAAACTTCTGGTGCCAGAGCTTTTCAGTGAAATACTGTAGACTTTAAAATAAACATAATCGGGAAAATATATGTGTACTTCCCTATATAGAGAAATATTTCTTATATACAGCTGTGCTGTTTCAGCTCATACGTGAAAAACAAGCAGTATGCAATAGCATATGTCTACATCAGCATTCTAATATGTAGGAGGAGTACAGTTCTGAAGCATTACTGAAATAGAAGGAAACTGATTATAAAAATGGACAGACCACATAACTGAAAAATATGCAAATAAAAAACTTGCCATGATGTTCAAACAACAGAGCTACGTGAGAAAGAGGTAGTGGGATTAACTCTCCCACATACTTCAAAACTGATTATTTGGATACAGCCTTCTTTGGTCACTGGGGTTCTATGATTTGCATTAATCCCTAGCTTAGAGTACTGTGTTGAAACAATTGTATTAGTAAGCTAGAAATTCTATACTGTTCCTAACTGTTAGGCAAATTTTCATTTCTGATATGTATTTTTAGGTTACTATCCAGAAAATGCAATTTTACTTTTGAGACATGACACAGAAACAACACCAGAAGAACAAACAGAAGTAGAGAACATGCTGAACTTTCTTCAGAGCCAACTTCTTCTCCCTTCCGTATCTGAACTAGGTTCTTCCTTCTTTTCTTTTCCCTCCTTTTCACTTATCTGTCCTTTTAAAGAAGGCTGGAATTGTTCTGGGATGTGTTTTCTTTTCAGAAAGTAAAAATTCAGATGGAAATCAATGTTCCATCATTTATTCCCCAAAAGCTCATTTTAATTTTGGTTTGGGTCTTTCAGGCCTTCCCTGAAACTCCAGTTCCAGCTAGGATTCACCTTCCACTTCATCTGCAAAGAAGTATGGTTTACAACACAGACTTCTTTCACAGTTGGAGAAAAAAACTGAATGACTTCAAACAGCAGCAGTTACCAGATCACAGAACTGTAGAATAATTCAGGTTGGAAGTGACTCCTGGAAGCTTCTAGTCCAACCAACCTCCCTCTCAAAGTGCTATCAACTATGAGATCAGACCAGGTTACTCATGACTTTATCAAGTCAGGCATTGGAAATCTCCAAGGATGGAGATGGCAAAACATCTCTGAGTAACCTGTTGCAATGATGGACAGCTCTCATTCTGAACAAGTTTTCCCTTATAACCGGCCTGAAACTCTCCTGTTTCAATTCAAATGTGTTGTCTCATACCCTCTTGTCATGTAGCACTGTGAAGAGCCTGTTCTCCTCAATAACCTCCTCACAGACACTATCAGGCTGCTGTTAGGTCTCCCTGAAGCCACCAAAGAAAGAAATATTTTTTTTTTTCCAGGCTGAACAAGAGCAGTACCATCAGTCTCTCTTTACAGGGCAAACGCTACAGCTTCCTGACCATACTGGCAGCCCTCTGTTAAACTCACTCCAATTTATAGATGTCTAACTTTACTGGGGACCCAAAGCTGGATGCAGTATTCTAGATACCAGGAGTCTTTCTCCTGGAGAAAAAAAAGGGGATTGTTTTATCTCCTGAAGGTGTCTACTTGTTTCCCTCCTCTGAGTATGCCTGTGTATATGTACAGTTGCATGCTCATACATACAGATATTCTGGACCTAAACATCTCTTCCCTGATTTTGTATAATAAAATGGTATTTGGCTTTTTCTGGATTATACTAATGTTAATGAAAGACAGATCAGTATAAAAATACACATTTTAATGTTGTTGTTTACACATGTATGCATGAAAAAATTGTTAATATAAACACACAGTCATTACTTTTATGACCAGACCCCTAAAATATGGTTGTGTGTTAAGGCATGGCTTTAGGTATCCCTTATATGCTTTAACTTTAGCCTCTAGGTTTTTGGTTTTGTTTCTTTTTGTTGTGTTTTTTTTTTTTTTTTCATAAATTTGTTTCTCATAAGTTAAAGCATGATGTAGAAATCTCAGTTAAAACAGGGAAACAAAGGAAAGAAGACCTAAGTGCAGAAGGAGAAGGCACGAAATGGAGCCAAAATTCCAAAAGCTGCTGTTATGCTGACACAACCAAGACGACAGAAGGTGGGAGAAGCTGGCAAAGAGGTAAGAGAACAGTAGGTGAAGGAAATGTGCACACTGTCTCATTGCAGCTCTACAGTTCAGACGAGGAGTGAAGCATGTGTGGAAGCCCATATTTTGCTCACTCAGGAGCTCTGAAGTCCAGAAGACAAATAACTCCAGGGAAACACAGTCTTGAACAGCAAATCATCTAGGTAACCCACTTGGAACAAAGCACGGAACTTCCAGTTCAGTCCAAAACAGTTTGTCTGAAAAACTCTCTCAGTGCTTACTCTAGATTACCATAGCATGGCAAGCAGTAAAAGGAAATAAAAAGAGCCAGTAGACGTGTACACAAGCATTCCTTACCTAGCTTCCACATACAAAACAGAGAGCAAATTTTCATTTGCTAGGGAAAATGCACTCTCTGCTTTGCCATTCGTGATTATTGTGTCCATCCCACCCTTGGTCTGGTACAGTCCCCAAAGCTTTATGCACACATGATATATAGTCTTTTCTTCATCTGTCTCGTTTGGCATGTGCTCAAAGTACTGCCACGCTATTGGATGACATAGGTTGCAGATGTTCACGTAACATAAGGGAAACTGTAACTGAAATGTTAAGAAGTTCGTAAGAATCCCCATAATGGTGCAATTAATTTCTAGCCAAGGCAAAAGACCTCAAACATGGCTACTTATGCACTTACTGGAGTCCTTTTTGTTGCCTTTTACATCCCTCACCCGGTTCAACTCCAGGTGGACGTTGGCTTTCCTAGCCATGTCTCTGTACACTCAGACAGCATTTCTATATGGAGAGGTTGTGGAGTCTCCATCCATGGAGATATTAAAAACCTGTCTGGAGGTGGTCCTGGGCAATTACTCTAGGTGGCCCTGCTTGAGCAGGCAGGTTGGACAAGAAGTCCTCCCAAGGCCCCTGCCAACCTCAATCAATCTGTGACTCTGTGGGTTCACTTCAGAATGCATTAGAAAAAAAAAAATCCTCTAAGGACAGTGAGGTAGGAGATAAGATCTTTCACTTTTGATGTTCTGAATTAGCACGTAATTTGTATAACCTGGTAGTGATAGAATAATTCTTGCCCTAGGGGATATTCAAGTGAGCATTTCCACACCTTATGACTAAATCTTGCAAATGCCATCATCAAACTTACACTGAAATTTTGCCTGTTCAAATTAAGAGCCATAAGTTAATAACATGGTAAATTCTAACGGTGATTCCTGCAAGTCTTTATTGTTGACATTTTTGAGATTTAAAGCATTTACGTGAGTAAACTGCAGCTGCTGCCTGCTACACTTGTTAAATACTATATGTTAGTGCAAACTTGATACAGTATGTCAAAAATATAACTCAAAAGTCAATGAAAAATCTCCTGCAACGTGCAGAGACAAATATAAGTGAACTCTTATTTTCTAAAATATCAATACAAAAATTACATTTCAGTTTTTAAATTATTCTACAAAACCCATGTAAGTGAGTAATAAGGGCACTATAATAAATTCCTTCTAGCTTGGTAAATCATACCATAATTTGTGCACACACTAAATGCTGACCAAATTCATTAAAAGCAATAATCACAAATTGCTTGGGGTTTCTTTTCACTATTAACAGGCTTTAAATAAATGCCTATGAGATTTAGGAACAAAAGTTGTTTTTGAAACTTCCCTCCAAGGTTTTAATAAACTTAATGAGAAGGGGAAACTCAAAAACCTCTAGAAACACAAGAATTTTTCACTTGTAAATGCTGAAACACTGAAAACATACACAGTTCTGCTACTGCAAATGCCTTTTAGTCATAACTAACTAGTCCTCTTTATTTCCAATGAACGTAATATTCACACTACATTTATTATTTACCTCTGCAGCCCACATCCCTCATCACAGACATTCAGCCTTCAGATTCACAATTTTCTGCTGTGTCGATGCCAATTCTCCTGCCTTTAACCTGCTGGCAGCTCTGTATCCCCTCTCACACAGGAGGTCAGGATGAAATGAGAGCTGTAACCCAACATCACTCCATAAAACAACCTAACTCCTTCACTGGACCACACAGAGCTTTTCCTTAGGGACTAAAACCCAGTGATCCATGCAAATGTCCAGTGCAGCCCACCTAAATTAATGAGAGAATGACTATTTCTCTCATTCTACATACTGCTACAGAATGTAAGGAATTAAAACATATGTATTACATTTGGTTTAAAAAATAAGTCAGTCTTTTAGAATTACAGGTTTTATTATTTTAAAATCTATGTAGATTAAGTTAGGTAAGTGCAAACAATGAGGGAAGAAGGAAGCACTTATGTCAACTGGTTCTTTTGTACTTCTTTGTTTTTAAGTGAATGCATCACTATAACAAAACTTTTTCATTTTTATGAGAATCAGCTGCCAGCATCCCTTTTCTTCCCTTAGAAGAAACTAATAGAAAATTTAGGCTATAAGAAAAGGACTTCTATTTCAAAGAGATGGTTAGTGAGCAGTAAAGCAGAAATGCAGGCTTTGATTCATTGATGTATTCACATTTCCAGCAAATACCTATTTGATAAGGCCACTTCCTCACTCACAGTCAGACACAGTACAGAAATTTTCCCCATTAGTCACTGATTTATATTAGCATTAATTATTTTACCTGTAATAAACACGCAATGTCTGGATTTCTTCTTGTAATTTTTTGCACTGTTGAAGAGTAGCTTCTTTTTCTTGTTGCAAAGCTATCAATTCGGCCTGTGAAACAATAAACAAATGATAAACAATTTATTCAGAATATCCATATGGCTTTCAAAACATAACAAATCTTTCTGCATTCATTTCAGCCATGCTTTATTATAATTACATATATAAAGTTATACTGTTTTCTAACACCGCCTATTAAATTATTATGAAAAATCCTTTCTCGTTCTAGTATTGAAATTGTTTCTAGTTTTTTTTCAAGCAGAATGATGTTTGAATGGCTTCCCGCATGTATATGGTAAACTTTTTGAATGGCAAAGGTTAGACCTCTTCAGTTCAGCCAAGTGTTTATCAGCAAACATATTTCATAGTGATATAATGCTCTTATAGTGCAAAACTATTGACCAACATAGAGAGAGTGAAGCAAGGCACTCAGCCACAAACTACTGATGCACGACTCTTGGTCTGCACATGGCTCTCTGTGCTCCTGTGCTGGGAGCCACTGGCTGATGTGACTAGCAGGAGAGCTGCTGGCTACACTGCACCCTGAGCAGCAGCAGGTGATGAACCAGCCAGGGCTGCTGAGACTGGCACAGCCAGCTCACTCTGGGATCTGGGTGCATTCTTATCCAGGATCTGGTTTATAGTGGAGTGAGGGAATCCCTGTGCAACTGCCCTCATCTCCCACCTGTGAAGCCTCCCGGATGTTCCTCCTCCCCTCTCAGTGTTTATTCACACCAGGCTGCAAAGGGCTTCTGACTCACAGCCATTATGGAAATTGCAGCATGTGGCTTGTAAGGTCAGGAAGGTAGCCAGCCCTGATATAGCCTTACAGTTAACGAGAAGGTAGGAGAAATAAGTACTCATGCATATTTAATATGGCTCTATAGCTTAATCACCATTAATTTTAAAATGTACAGTTTCAATAGCACTGCAGGTCTCCCTTGAGGGCCCAGGTACCATATAAATTATCTTAAAATCAGCAGATGATTAATTGTTGTAACAACAAATAAGACCGGGCTTGCACAGCAATTCTTTGACACACGAGCCTGAGCATTGGGCTGCTTTCCAATGTTTTTAATTCATGGTGTAAGTTATTAATTGTACAAATTGTAAAGCCTCAAACCAAGAGGCGCATGTGTGAGAAATGCTGACTGTGGATTCTGCCAACTCTTCAGGACAGTGTTGCGGAAAAGTTTCTTGGTAAATTAAAGACCTGTTACATGAGCTATGAACACATGAAAGGAAATGCATAGAGTTTAGCCTCTAGCTCTGCCAAACTCACTGTATAATCACGAACAACTCCATCTTGTATGCCTCAAAATCTCTCTCCTAAAACAGGGCTCCCACTTGCTTCTGTTTCCTGTTTGTCTATTAAGACTGTAAGTCTTCAAGGCAGGTGTTTTACTGTTTACTGTCAACTCCCAGTCACCTATGGGTAATGTATTCTGCTGGTTGATTAATCACGTCCTGGATACATGGCTGACTCGGAGCAAATTTTATTAAACACCGCATTGCACAAATGCAGGCACACAACCAGTCTCTGCACTGTGCTGCTCAGTGTGTCATATTGCACCCAGGGTTTTGCATGGCCCATGTACAGGACCCACCACTGTAATTGCTCCCATAACAGACATTCATAAAATTTTAACAGGAAGTTCCCTGGAGAATAAAAACAAACTTTCTTACTCTATGGAGTGTTCCTTCAGCTTTAAAAGCAGAAAGCATTAATGTTTAACCTCTGAGTGACAGTGGTAGAGAGCTTCTGATACCTTAAACAATGTACTGGATGCTGGCAAGCCCTAAGTCCTGTCAGCAAAAGGTTAAATCCTCTGCAGGTGAGCCTTTTGCTCAGTGCTCCTTGCTGCCTTGCAAGCAGAACTCACAGAACACAAGGATGTTAGCCAAACCAAGCTATTTTCTGTAATTATACTGTTCTGTAGGTGAAACAACATTCTTAAAAACTGGAAAACACGCTTGAATCAAAGTAGGTGGTTTGTTCTAGAGGCCAATAATTAACATCCTTGCCAATTTTCAGTGTACTGTGAAGTGTGATTGAAATGGTAGACTGGAAGGAAATGTTTGCAGCTGACACACCTACTCATGGGGAGATTAACGGCTAGTCTCTTAGGAGAGCTATCATAAAAAATACACCTAATGTTCCACTTGCTTTTCAGGACAAAAGTCAGAAGGCCCTAGAGTCTGAAGACTCTTATTTATGTCAGTTTTTCAGCAGAGAAAACTGCACTGATTTTTGCACCAGTAAAAATTAATAGCACAATCAGGTGCTTTGGATTAAAAAAACCCAACAAAACAACACAGGTACAAAAACTGAAGGGAAGAAAAGTAGACATTTGCTAACCTCCTCAGTAGCATGCAGTGGGGTTGATACTAGGGAGCTGCATGAGACAAATGAAAATTCAAGCACAAGAGGTTTTGTGCACAGCATGCAGCCATGAGACAAAATGACCCATCATTCACAGGCCTGAAGAGTGGTAAATACAAATATATTAGTCAAATAGCCTCCCAAAAGAGACATGTCTTCCTTCTCTAGAAGAAGGAAAGTGAAACAGTGCCCCTCACAAAGTTAAATTGCTAACTAAAATAATGGTGCCTGCACTACTATAAAACATTTGGAAGACTCCTATAATGTATATTGAAATCCATCCATAGCGCCCATGGCAAAAATCCTGCATGAGCTCACCTCTAGCAATAACAATAGCTGCTTGGGAACTTTTTAACAAAATGTTATTCCTTTGGAAAATGTCAAGCTGTGGAAATCAGAACTCTTTACAGAAATGGATCAGTTTTGATTAAATTTTTTTGGAAGGCAGGGCAAAAAAGGAGCAGCAAGAAGAAAAAGAATTACACTCAGGTTCCTCTGGTGGAGATTTTCCCTAAAAATGCCAATTTAGAAGTGAGGTCAGTCACTACTTTGGTATAGAGGGCACCCTCAGTGAAGTTCCTGTTTAACCCTGAAAGGGTATTCTGATCACTGGGTTATGGTCCCCTTCTCACAATTTTGTTTTGCCCACAATTTCCTATGCTATCGTGTTTGGTTTAAAATGACAGATCCTCCCCCCTTCTCTGTCTCTCACCCCACTTTCCTGCAAAAGAGAATTCTTGTTTCTACAATTCTCCCATTCTGCATTTTAGCAAACAGTTACTTGTTGAAAATTTAAATTTTCCAGTTAAATCTAAATGCTAATTGCTACATATTAAACTTAGAATAGCCAGATCTTAACTAATTAAATCTCATTACTGATCCTTCTGCTGTTGTTTTTGTTTCAAAATATTTAAATGAACATTGCTATGTGTTTTCTTAACCCAAGGGCTGTAAAAATACAAGAATTAAGCAAAGGAAAGCAAAGTGTAAAACTAGTTTTTATCTTTTCCTATTTCTCTAGGGCAAACATAAGCACTCTCAACCCTAATCTAAATC